AGTACTCAAATAAGACATTCTTAATATCTTAAGTCTAAGGATCAAACACACAACTAAAATTACGGAATCGCTATCTAACGATGAGACATCATTAACCAACTAGTATTTTGTAAGTGGATCATTCAGTAAATTCATTCTCGAATTAGCACCTGCACCATATCCCTAGTATCCCCATATAAGCAACTATAAAACTAGCTGCCTCTATCATATGGATGGGTATATAGCATACCGGTTTATTCGGTTATCTCGATATCCCTCTTGAGTCTAAGAATATTTAAGATATGTTTCTATAGGTGAATTGGTCTCATTATCGTGATCGCATTATGATCTAATTCTCATTATACGGATCCAACTTTGTGATAAAATTAAACATATAGCAAAATTAAATAGTTCTAGTATCCTAAGTCTCATTATCAGTAGTTCTAATATCCTAACAATAATAATTAGTAAAAAGTCATCTACCAACTTTGTGATAAAATTAAACATATAGCAAAATTCTGTTGATCTCGACCCAAATCTACTACTGTACCCAATTGGCCTCAAGCAAACTTCGTGACTACTCTAATTACTTATTCATATTACTTATCCTTTATAAATCATATTACTTTTGATTTATAAAATTGTATCTATCAACACCGACTACGAAGGTAATGAAGACATTATCATTGGTGATAGTAATAGAATCTCTATCACTCATATTGATTCCATAACACTTAATTCATATACAAATATATTTACACTTAATGATATTTTATATGTACATCACATCAAAAGAAATCTTATTTTTGTCTCATAATTTTATAAAGAAAATAATACGTATATTAAGTTCTTTTTTGACTCACTTCTTATAAAGGATTTAAGCATAAAAGCATCTTTAGTCAAAGACCGCAATAGAGGCAACATTTACAATTGGCTATCAGCTTTATAAAACACTCAACTAATTACTTTTGCTTCAATTATAACTCATTATGATGTTTGCTTTAGTAATAAAAGTTACATACTACTTTTTGGAATATCTTTCATATCTTACTTCAAACCATTTGAAATCATTTACACTAATATCTAAGGTCATGCTCCAATCACTTACTTTGATAATTTTATATTTTATATCATTTTTATAATTTTTTTCACTAAATATATATGGCTATACTCTCTCAAATATAATTTTGAAATTATCATGGTCTTTACACATTTTAGAAAGGTGGTCGAGAACGTCTTCTAATCTACTATTAAAATAATTTATTCTGATGAAGGAGGTGAATACCAATCCCTAACAACTTACCTTTCATCATATGATATATAATATATTGAATCTCGAATTTTGATGATAAAATCAATTAATAAAGTTATGATAATGTGTGCTTAAGTGATGCAGGACTAGCTTCGATCATGGAAGATAAATCGATTAAAGTAGTAGAATCAGAAGTTAGGCCGAAATAGAATATGTTAGAAGATTAGATGTCGGACCGGAAGAAGGTCGACATGTCGGTAGAAGGCTTCATTACATAAATTCGGGCATTGGGCTAGAAAGATCGGACATTGCACTAAGGAGATCGGGTATTGCGGAGGTCAACATGTCGATTGAGCAATATATCGCAAGAGAGGACGATGCACCGAAGGTTCGAACGAAGCATCAGATGAACCTATGACATACCGGACAACTTAATATTCTTGCTTGTAATAATTTATCTAGATCGAAGCAGTTTAGACAGCTAATTGAGTTGGTTTCAAGTGAAACCATGTCAACTCAATTAAGGGCCAACTAGGCCCGAATTAGGGTTGTTTTAAGCTAAGAGAAAAACTCATTTAGTGACCCAAAAGTTGGTCAGGCGATGGCACCGCTAGAGGCTCAATCTCCAAGACACAATCTCCGAGACTGTATCAAGCGGTAATACTATCAATCTGAACAGTGGTACCACTTAGTGTTAGTGCTACAAGCAGTGGTACCGCCCAACACAGGCGATGGTATCGTCGGGACTCGGGAAACCTAGGATGAGACCTTTTTTTGCTCTATTTTTAAAATCATTTGAGATCTATAAATACACCAGCTATTCCTGCCTAGAGAAGCAAGAATTAAGCTGAAAGGGGAAAGAATTCTAAGTTGTAAAAGTGTTAAAAAGATTGAGTTCCCTCCTCCTTGAGCTTAAAGGTTACTCTAAGAGAGGTGTGAAAGGGTTACCTTAAGAGGTGTAAAGGTTATCTCCAGAACCTATAAAAAAGAAAAATAGTTGTAAGAGGGTAGTTGGTCTTCTCTCATTGAAGGAAGATCATTAGTGGATGTCGATAGCCTCAACGGAAGAGGAATCGGAAGTGGATGTAGGTCACGATGACCAAACCACTATAAATTGGTGTACTTTCTTTCTTTGCTGCTAGTTACTTCCTTTGCAACTGCTTTACTTCCTTGTTACTTTAGCTGTAAATACTTATGAACATTTTTGAAGTTAAACACTTTTTGATATGGTTTTATCGTACGAAGTTTTATGAGTCGACGTAATCTTACATAAGCACTAATTCACACCCCACCCCCCCCTTAGTCACCACCATACACACCTCAACTAGTTGGTTCTATCAAATAAAATTATTAACGTATAATTGAGACTAGTGTCACCCTCCTACACCAAGTCTCCATGTCATTAATCTTTCGGCCAATAACCTTTCAAACTATATTCTACCTCATTAACCACTTATTTACCCTAATCTTGTAACACCAATCATCATTTAAAAAATTATTTTATAAAATCTTAAACCTTTAAAAACTTAAAATATTTAGTTATTTATGTTATCCTTAACTATACTCCTACATTTTACATAAATTAATTCTAAGATGTAGACCTTACATCGCCATTCGGTTTTTCCTAATCCAAATACTCTTCAGTGCTATGATCATCAAAATTAAAATGTCTTTGTATCACGTTATATTATTTTTGTTGCTTTTTCAACACTATGAGCCACTATAATAACCATCCATCACTGTGCTCATGTGAGTATACCTCAAACTCCCTTAGGCACACCTCTTATCACATCATCAAATAATTCTCCTCTAGACTTGTACTCCATTTTTGCTAGGCAATACCTCATCGCCTCTGTAATTTCTCCATCTACTTCTCCATTAACTTATTCTGTAATGTCTGATGAAGTGATGCCCTTGACATCATAAATAATGTCTTTATCCTCTCCTTGGCCAAATGACACCGAAGTGCATTAGCCTAATCAATTACGTGTCACTAACTTTTCACTAACTCTTATATCTTCGATACAATCCAATAATACTACTAAGTTTGGACATCACATAACAATACACTCCAAGAATGACATCTTCAAACTATATCAAATCATTAATCTCTATGCTACCAAAGCTCTCCACCTGAGCTTACTTGAACCCACAACAATCACCCAAGTCCAAAAATCTTTATACTAGTATAAAGCCATGCGTGAGGAATACGATATCTTACTCTATAATGCCACATAGTAATTTTATCTACTTTATATAAAAAATCATCTGGTGTAAGTAAAATTTTCAAATTAAGCAGTGGATAAAATATGTTTAGTAACTAAAGGATTTTACCAATGACTAGATGTTGATTTCACATAGACTTTTGATCTAGTCATTAAACCAAAGATACTTTGACGTATTCTAAGTTTGGGTATCACTCAAGGCTAGCATATATAATAATTATATGTTAGCAATGCTTTCTTATATGATACTTTAACTGAAGATGTATTTATTTAATAACCCCTTGGCTTCTTCCACCCAAATCATATTTGTAAATTATAAAAAGTTATTTATAGACTTTGTCGAGCTCCAAGAGCTTGGTATACCGAAATTAGCTCGGTTTTGATATTTGTTGACGTTGTCAACTCTATTATATGTTAACATCAACATACACTGTCTTCCTTTGAACAAATCTGATCGGTTCAAAATTAAAAAAAACAAAACACAATCGCAAGATCTATCATTGAAATTGAATACTGAGCAATCACTACCACTAATGCAAAACTCAATTGGATCACTAATCTATTACACGAACTTGATATCACCTCCCAACCCACTCATACAATATACTGTGATAATGTCGATGTCACCTACTTATGCATTGACCTAGTATTCTACTCACACATGAAATAGATTGATATCGACTTTCATTTTATTAGATATCAAATTGTTAGACATCAATTACGTGTTTCTTACGTTCATACTTCTGACCAACTAGTAGGCTCACTCAAAAAGTCTTTCGCTCTTCAATTCGATCAATCCAAAATTGACATCATTAATGGGAGCTCAATCTTACGGGATCATCATAGAAGATTATGATATAGACAAATATAAAATGATAATTTTATATCTTTACATGTTCTAATCCTCACTCAATTTATAATTTAAGAATTAATCATAGATTTAAGTACATAATTTGAATATACATGATTTAAGCATATGATTAAAAAAATTCTCTTTCTCGTAATTTATATATATATATATATATATATATATATAATCTTAATAAATAAAATTATTTTTTTCATAATAAATTTTTTAATTATATGAATGAGTGAATATGGATCCCCTCTTTGTTATAAATTACTCGCGATAAACTTTGGTAACATTAGACCCTTTTTATTCAACATTGACTGCGCACCAATATTTGACCCTCCGTTTCTCATCTATAACCCAGCAGGGACATTAGAAGCTCTCACAAGATGTTTCCATGGTGAGTAAAGAGCTGTCCTTGGCACTTCACATCAAGACATGTCTCCATAATGCACGGAGACTTTGGGGAAAGCATTCGAGCTGTCCTCTCTCTCGGGAGCCATGTCGAGTTACTTGCCACCAATTAATGCCATCAAATCAGAAATTATTGGAGCAAATAAGCCATTATTTGGCCACCATGAACCACCATCATGTTTCCACCGTGAAAAGCTTTGGTCGACATCAGCAGCAGTCAATGTTGGAAAACAATATGAGATACAAAATGCACCACAACAAATCTAAGATGAATAGGGTGTAAAGAAGCACGGTCAACCTTGTTGCTTATTTTTAATGTGCCCTGTAAACGTCACAAGCTTTTCTCACCCGCGTACTTTCTCCACTCACGGAGTGGTGCGGGCCCCACTTCACCCGCGCACTCTCTGTTTTGCCCCTTACCCCTTCTCTTTGTTCCAAATTTTCACCGCCTGACCGAGCAATATGGTTTCCATCTTTTTTGCCATTACTCTCCCTCTCTCACGCGGGCACACACAAAACAATACCATACATATCCTTCTTATATAAATGGCATCGGAGGCTCATCTTCCCCACCACAACACTGGTAAACGGCGTGCACGCGTAGTGGTGGAGATTCCACCCCTTACTCTTCTTCCCCGTCGATCCACTCGTCGTCAATCTCTACTGCTCAAGGTTGCTGCCTCTCCTCCAGCTTCTTAGGTATATGTATCGGTGTCTACCATGCACGTGATAGTTTTTCCGATGCTACTGCTGTTATATGGTTGCCTGCAGAGAACAAGGATGAGCCGCCGCAGCAACCATGGGAAGAGTCACAAGGTTGACCTGAAGCTGAACCTTGCGCCGCCGATGAGGGAAGACGCGTCAAGAAGGGCAGCCACCGTCGTCGACTCCCCCCGTGGGTCGTCGTCATCCTCCTCGTGCCTATCGTCGGAGACCGAGCAGGGGCTGCCGTGCCAAACCAGCCCCGAGGCGACGTCGATGGTGCTCGCCGCCTGCCCCCGATGCCTCATGTACGTGATGCTCCCCGAGGAGGACCCCAAGTGCTGCCCCAAGTGCAAAAACGCCGTTCTTCTCGACTTCCTCTGCAGCAACAGGAAAACCTGAACCAGTCTCGTCCTCTCTCTCTCTCTCTCTCCTGTTTCCCCTTCTCTTCCTGCTGAAGATGATGCAAACATGGACACAAAGGATCAACTCAGTACTGTGATGATTAAATGTGCATGAATAGAGTGGATGCATGTCATGGTTAGACTAAGTGCTTCCAAAGTGAAGAGGGTTGGGGGCAATGGCAGCTGGGGGATATGGAAAAGGTAGACTACTTTGGATTGGAACACCATAAAAATCAATTTAATGCAATAGTGGGGAACTACGTCAGATGATAAATGCCATTTATTTCCACCCCTCACCTCTTCGTCTTGACCAGTCAACCATTTGCTTCGTCTCTGAATGCATACAACGGAACGTAATTGCACCACTTAATGCGACGCCCATCACACCGTTGCCATATTCGAGCTTCCTTCCCACGTTGAGCGGCAGCATTTTATTCTGATATCTGAAGAAACAAAAGTGAAGAAAACAGGTGTTAGAACAGATGTCATCGAGCAAAGAGAAGCATGAACAAGAAGAACTGTTTTCTAAATGCATTGATATAGGAATAACAGCACAGATATCACACAGACAAAACAAAAAACAAATTGCTTTCTGTATGCACCGATGTAAGTCCTATCACGACACTCAAATCCAACCCCCTATGACCATCCGGATCATATTGGGCATTTCATGTTCCCATCAACAATTTGTTCATCTCCTTTTCCTTTTACAAAGTTTAAACTATATCATTAAAAGCAACAAAGACGTGCCAAGAGATGCAGAAATACAAGTTCCAAGTTCTGAAGCAGAGTTGGCATATCATAAGTTTGTCAAAGCAGAGCAGAAAATATGGAAGCCCACAACACACTTCAAAATCTAGTCCTGTGTGACAAAGCTGACACATGCAACTCAACAAAAAGGGTTCGATAAGGAAAAGAATTGGCACAAGCTTTCACCAGAGATCGGCACTTTATAAAAATGATATCCTCCGACAATGACCAGTACTTGTTTGTTTATTTGGTTTTCACTCCACAAAAGCTGATAGATTCTGGAGAAATCACAGAATCTTTTAACAAACAGATACAGGGTATCAAACCATCACACAGTACCAGACAGCTGAAGAACAAGGAACAAGTTTTTGGATGGGCCAAAATATATTGATTCTAATATATATTTTTCAACTATATATAAATCTTTATCTAAGTTATCATAGAATCTAATATGTAATATAAGGTACTTGTAACACCCATTTGCTTATTATTGTGTAACGTGCAAATATGTAATAAGTGACAGTACCATTCTGTATCTTAGTTTGGCATGTTCTAGGATTTCTATGTAATATTAGATACTTGAATTCGCCTTAAAGCTAGATATTGGCCACATATTTCAAAATTAAAAACCTTGCTCTCCCAGTCAACCTGGCAGTAAACAGAAAATAGAACATTACAATTTAAAGATTTAAACATGAATAAAATAAAACCACAAAAAAAAAGAATTAAGAAGATGATGCCATGCGGATATCCTATATTGCCCTTTCCCAGCATCTTTTTGGTTGCTCCATATTATAGCTTGCTTCTTTTCATCCATAGAGAATCTTCACTAAGCTTGGACGGGTGTCTTTCCCTAGAATGATACTCCTTTCTACCTTGTTTTGGTGTCTTGACACCATCGGGTGCCTATCCGGTGATCTAATTGAATTGGGTCCAGATATTTTTGATAGTCTTCCTTCTTCTCTAACACTTCTCCGTCTTTCTATTAAACTGGGCAAAAATTCTCTCAAATAATTCTCTCCCTCTCTTTTATCAATAAATCTTTCTACCCATAGAACCATAAGGGCTATCCATCCGAAAGTCTTTCTACCCATAGAACCATAAGTGCTATCCATCTGGACGTCCTCGTTCTCATTACTTGAATCATAACCATGTGTCTATACCAAGCTCACATCATCGATCATTTTCTTCTTCATCAGGATCACTTGTCATGACTACTAGCTGAACACCTTGACCCCTCTTTTTATCATGTGCATCATTAAAACTTTGCCTTCCATGACTATAAACTAAGGGACGAAATGAAGTAGCAGAAAAACCCCTTCTATCATTTTATCCCTGACCTCAACTTTGTATATTCTTCTCTCAAGATCCCAGGATGAAAGAATTCATTGAATCTGGTGGTCCGTCCCAATCTTTGAAAATGTCTAGGCCGTCTTCCAGTTGTGAATTGCATGGCCAGAACCTTCCAAATTCGTTCGAGTTCATCCTACATACAAAGGCATCTGCTGGAAACTTAGAGAGAGAATCACACTTGATTACATCTGATCTAACGAAGTGCAATGAAGAATGCACGATCAAATGAAATTCAAAACAATTTAAGAAGTTTCGTAGCAAAGTGTATGGCAAAGATAATGTATTGTCAAAAAGAAAAGGCATGAGAAACAAGGCAGTCATACAGCCTTATTGTGGATAAAAAAGTGTTCCAATTTTAGGCACTTGATTTTATAGGCTAATGATGGCATACATCACAGCGATATCAATCCAAAAGTAACGTGCCACTTTGAGCATATTTCAATTACATAACTCAAAAAAACCTCTCTATAAGTATGCTAACATTTAAAAGATTAAAAGTACCTGGTTCGGAAACCTAACAGTAAGCAACCAATTTTGACCGTCAGCACTGGACTATGATGAGACAAAGACCAAGAAACGTGAAAGAAGAGATTGTGATGAATCAGTCCATATGGTATATCCAGTCGTACTACTCCAATTATTTTATCAAAAGATATTTCAAGAATTATGCTAAATGAGAAATATTTATTAAAAAAAATGCAAAAAAAAAACCTGTCGATAAAAAATCTAAAAAGAAAAGATTTTTCAGAAATTAGCCCAATTCTTCTTCCCGGCTAGCCAAGTCTTCAACAACGACACATGAAGACTATGTCATCGTTGGTCCTCGGTGCTTTGGCCCTCAGTAAAGGCTTATCATTCCTGACATTGCCTCACCAATGCACGCCAGCCAATCATCCATCCAACACAATTACTCGTTTATTGTCACCACGTCAAGGACGAGGCTGGATTCCTCTGCCATTTGTGGTTAGAATCAAGAAAATGATCTCTTAATACAGCGTGGTGCAAATGCATCCGTCGGATCATGATCTGACGATCACTAGCTACGGAACTCAAAATTAACTATCACTCGAGTACGTACTGATATAACCGGAGTCCAATCAACACGTATTTTAAAGACAGTGGCAGAATAGTGATCGGCGGAATGTTCTTGTGCGACAATTGAGCCATTTTTCTTATTTTTATTTATTTATTTCATATTTTATTTATTTGTGTGAGGAGGAAAAATCATTACGAGAGCGAGAAATAAGGGAAGAAAACCTGGATGGCGTTACGCTGTGCCGTCAAACGCCGTTAGCGCTGGGGTCAAGAGGAGTCATCGCCGTGGACGGCGGAAGAGGCGGCGGAGGAACTCGATGCAGGAGTCGAGCGGCTCCACCGCGATGCCGCAGGTGAGGAACGCAAGGGCCTGCCGGAGCGATCTGAAGCAGCGGCGACGGCGGTGCAAGTCGTGCCCCCCCGCGGACGGTGTCGGCTGGAGGTACGCGTACGCCGCCTGCTTCACGAGGCGGTTCTTGATCCGGATCTCCCCTCCCCCGTCGCCGCCGCAGGGGGAGGCCGGGGACAGGGCCCCGCTTGGGAGCGGAGGCGAGCCGATGAGGTCGCGGAGGCTGGTGTATCCGGTCCGATGGCCGCGCTCGAAATCACCGGGGGAGGCGCGGCCGACGTCCAGGGCCACCGGTCTGGTCGCCGGGCGGAACCGCCGCCAGTGGCTGATGACGAAATCGCCGCTCGCCGGCGACCCCGAGGGCTTGTCGGCCGCGGCGGCTTCCCCCACCATCGCAAGAGAGCCAGAACGAGGAGAAAGAAAAGGAGGGAGTATAAAGAAGGGATTTATAATTATTTTAGTCTATAATTTAAATTAATTTTTCAACCTTATTTATCATATTTTAAGCCTAATTCGGTAATTCCGCGTAGCAAAGGAAGTACTAATGAAAAAAAGTAAATAACGTATTTAAGATAAAAGTTTGAAGTTGCAAAAAGCAAAAGCATTAATACAAATGCTAAAAAGACGAGATTAACATAAGTTTTAAGCTCATTTTTAGTGGGACATTAAGAATTACAACAAGGTTAGTGGAGGCTCAACTTGGGTTTTATATTATTCTATAATTTTTTATACGTAAAATGTCGATCTAACTAACTGCAATAAATGAGAACATTGGAAACCTGAGATTGCTTAAAGATTAAGGTCTGAATTAAATTAGAAAAAAGAATTAAAAGCCAAAAAACCAAAAAACGAAATTGTCGGTTTGGTCGCAAGTCATAATGATACAAAGCTACGGTCAGTTGGATTGCGATGTCCACTTATCATTGCTTGCGTGTATGGATGTATCTACATTCGTTTGGCTTTACAGTGTCAGTGTCAACAATAAAGTCCATCAAAGCGATCACTTTGCAAGACTATTCCGAGGATTATGTAATTGCTTAGCAGTTTGACCTCTTCCTGTAGTAGTTGAAAGTCATTGTCGCAGTCTAAAACAGTGGAATCACTGAAACAGATAAAGAAGAGAGAGAGAGAGAGAGATTTAACAACAACAACATTTGGGAGGAATTTAATGGCTTCAGGAACGAATCCATAAAACTGGCCTTAAATCTTTAATATCGGATGCCTTGGGTTGACCTTCGTCAGTGTTCATGGTTAGGCCAATACGGAGAAGACAAACTGGGTAAACATTTCCTATCGAGATCAACCAAACTTGTCAAGCAACATGAATGCCAGATCATGTTGTCGAATGGACCCAAACAAACCTAAAGTTAAAAGGACCCTGACACACAAGTTAAAGCTGCATCAAAGATCGAAACTTGAAATTAAATTATGCGGCTTTCACGAAGAGACTTGCAGCTCGAGGAATCTCTGGTCCAGGAAGAGAGAAGCATTTGGTGTTCTCATGGCCAAAAAAGAACGACTTCGGAGGAGTCAATGAATTGATATCATAAGCAAGACGGAAACAGATCCAAACAACACGCGGCCTCACATGGCCTCTTGCAGCCAACGACACAACACAAGAACGAAAGATGAATGGCTTCCCCTCACCAAGGGAAATCACAAGGCGGTGGATCAACGGTCGCACTCTGAGATCCGGAACGTGGCGGACATGCCGCCGTCCTGCGGCACCAGGGCGCGCACCTTGCAGTCGAACACGGGGTTGAAGTGGCCGATCTTGATGAACCACACCTTCATCCTTATCCTGGCGCGGAGCTTCACCTCGAAGTTAAAGTCCCTCTGCTCCGACTTCTCTTTCCCGTAGAACACGGCCACGGAGCCGGCGTCGGTCGCTTTGCCGCCGAACTCCGGGCGGAACGCGGTGGTGTTCTTGTGGTGCTGGTAGAAGGTCGGGAGCGGCGCCGTTTGCAGCAGAACCCCGTGGTAGAGGGCGGCAACCACCAAGGAGTCATAGTAGATGCCGACGCGCTTGTTGGGGTTGCGGAGGGCGAGGCCGACGGTGAGGTTGAAGAGGAGGGCGGTGGAGTTGTCGGCGAGGCTGAACGACATGAGCTGGGCCTCTTGGACGGAGGCCCGGGGGAGGCGAGGGTGGAAAATGAGCCACCAGATCAAGACGACGAGGCCGAGGGAGATGACGAGCTGAACAAGGCTGCAGAGGAGTTTGCAGCAGCAGCCGCCGCCGCCGCTGCCGGAGGTGTCGCGGCTGCCACGGGAGGAGTTCGCCATGATGTTTGGTGCCTGACGGAAGGAGAGAGCAAACGAGGGAGATCGAATTTAATGACGATAACAGAAAGAGGATTCCTCTTATATACGGTAATAGTAAAGGAAATGGATAGTGCAAGTTTCTGAGAGAAAGAAGCAGCCGGGGGTTTTGGTATAAAAGAAAGACCCGATCCCATTGGTCAACCCGGTCACGCGGCAAGCATCTACTATTGATCAAGTGGCACCGACTTGTCTTACCATCGATCTCCCACTGTACAAAAGCTACTAGTTGACACGCACGCAAAATATTCTATGATTTCTATTGGAGGAGGATCATTCTGCTAATTTTAATTACCTTCTCACCTCGACATGGCTCGGATACGCATTCCAATTGCAGTGCAGAAGAGAATTCGAGCTCACTTCATACTAATTCAAATGATATGTGTTAAAAACAATGCATATAATAAAATTGAAGCATATGAAACATATGCAGTTTGACTCTTAACTTGTAGCCAAGCAGCAGGATGTAGATAAGGTGATGGGAACCAAAACGGGCCCCTTCGTTCGGTAGCAATTGCGTCGACGCCTTCCTATTTCCGATGAATTAGCACAAAAACAAGATAAGGTTAATGATGTGTTCTTAAAAGCTTTACAAGGAAGCAAGTTGAAAGCAATCAAAGAATAGCTTTGGATCCTCCGTCTCAGCAATTTACAACAGGAGTAACAGGCATCCTACCTATACAAAGATCTTCTACGATTATTTCTTTATCATATCGCTCTCAGAACGTTAAGAGGATTCCTAATATACATCGCAACTTCCTGATTCAAGATTCTTTCCTGGAAGCAGAAAGTTGACATAAAAAATGTCAACCGAGTGTAAAAGAACAAAGAAAAAGCACAACTCTGGTGAACCAGACTGCAGCTAGGAGATGATTCTGCATGTTGAGGTCTTGTGGCAGCTACGTTGATGGTATGAAACATGCCACTTGCAGCAAAGAAAAGAAGCAGAACTCACATTGATCATTCTTAGGACTGTTTACGTGCCTTGTCATGAATGTCGAGCATCACATCACTTAATTCTGGAAAGACTGAAACAAGCACCATTTCCAGCATACTATATGCAAGCTGCTTGATGCAGATGGTAGACTGCACACATACACAGACATACTCTTTAAGGTGAAGATACAAGTCTATAGTCCCCATGTACCAGTGATTATATAAGAGAGATTGATTGAACCTACCTGAGAGAAATAGTAAATATCCCTTGCACAGCGCCGATATTGATTTGATCCAATTAAGCTGACTAATGCTGTCGGAGCTCCACCTGAAAAGAATCCTTTTGTTCAGTAGAAATCACAAAAATTGAACATTGAGATCAACCAACCTAATCACAATCTTTTCTTTCATGAATAACTTCTATTATGAAATTTCTAGAATGTTACTCTGTCACTTGTTAGATACAGCCATCCACCAATTAAACCCAGACGTGCTTAGAATCCATGCTCGAGGCAAAAAGAAAAAAAGAAAAGAAAATTAATGCCCCTAATCTCATACAAGAGATACAGAAAACATCGACCTTGTAAAAATGTGACTCTTGAAACTTTGTATTGTTAATTAAAAACTAAACCAGGAAACTCAAAAATATCGGACCAAATGCAAAGAAAAAATATGTGAAATAAATCAGGAAAAGGCACACATTAGTTAAAGATGGGACCACAAAAGAGAAGACGACCATGGTGGTTACAATCTGACAGCTTACAGCAAGAGCGCACCAAGCCAACTGAAAGCTATACAGAGAACATTAATGCAGTAGCAAAAAAGTCATCTTTTTAGGTGCACTCAAGTGTCATTAAGGAGAAGCTAGTATCAAATCTCAAATTTCCTGCCGTGTCATATGTGGAATAAAAAAGGAAGAAAATTCAAGAGGCCTAGTCTTACAAGAAAATCTTGGATTACACTCTACAAACAATTTGCAATAGTAAGAAAAGCATTATTGACAAGAGAGAAAGGAAGAGACAAAATCATGTTTATATGATTGTGACAGGGAGAAATCAATAAGTAGGAAAGGAGAAGAATATAAGAGTAGGAATAATCAAATTAAATCCCTTGCGTCCGAAGTGTATTAATTATTTCAACAAATTCAGGAGCCAATAAATTGCATTTGAAGGCTGAGCTATCCCAAAAACTATTAAATGATCAATGATTGTTTGTGATTCACAAGAGAGTGCCCTGAGGTAAATTTATTCCACACATGGGCAATTAATATAGTTTACCTGCATCTCACATCCTATGACAGCCACGGCAAGGAAAACCAGCTAATAAGAAACCAACTTCAGATACAACATTGTTTATTTCAGATCACATGAAAAGTTCTAAAAGCAGATTTGCAACATAGTGTTCAAAGAGGAGGTATATCAGAGAAAGAAGTTGTGGAGAAAAGAAATCAACAGAACTGTCCAACGCCTAGTACTTGCTGGTACAAAACTTAAGACATGCTTTGATATTCAAATGATCAAAATTTTAGGCAGTCAAACTAGCCATACATGAATTTCTATTTTGCTCAGAAAATTGGCCTCCTAAATGGAGATCTAAGATCTTAACATGGCTTCAGAATCCCTTGCCCCCCATGCATGACATTTCATTCTCATCCAAAAGATTGAATGAACTGTGCCCTTAAACTGTGTCCATCAAGTGACCATGATATTAACTATGTGCATCAAGGTTAACTTATTCATTAGTGATCGCAAAAATTTTGAAGGCCAAAGACATTTTCTTGTTGATGTGTCCACAACCATAAAGGAATTGGTTTTCGACACAATGCTACAAAAACATCAAAGACAAGAATTATTGAATTTTTAAAAGCACAAAGATAAATGCATCAAGCGGATTATATTCAATTGTAAACTTATTAATCAAAGCATCCATATGAAATCCATCAGAATGACAAGAAGCAATAGACTGAAAAGCCATCTCTTACTCTAGAATGCTTAAGGCATGAAGTTTAGCGCTTCTACTTATCCTTAGGTGCTACATGTGATGCTGAAATTAGCATTACCCAGCAAATTCTTAACAACATTAAAGATCATTGGACTACAGGATATAACATCAGAATAAAGCATGTCCACGATAAATGCTGATTCAAGCTTTAATTTTAAACAGTTATATGCAGAAATTTATGCATCAATAATAACAATAGAAGAAACCAAACCAGTGTGGTCATAAATTAGTCACAGACATGTCAACTATAATCCATCAGCAAGGAATGCAACAAAAGGAGCTAGCATCATACAACAAATTGCAGGGAAACAATGTCTCACCAAGTAGCATTTTCTTAACATCATCTGCTCTGCGAGCTGCCTCGAGTTGGGCCTCAAAAGAGCTTGGTCTAGTGACTTTATCACCATAAGAACCACTTGTACTTTGAGACGGTTTCTGATCAATATTAAAATCATCAAGCTCCCCTTGACTGCTACCAAGCCTAATGATGAATGTGCCATTAGGCCAGAGAACCTGCTTGGAAGTGAAGTAGCAATGAAAAAGGAAATCCAAACATTTGATTACATATGTAGAAGTAGGCAGCTGAATATCAGCCAACAAACTGGTAGCTCAACCGTAGAAAGAAAATTAAAATTTTCTTATCCTATTTATACTTATTTTAAACTATATCTAAATATATAAAGAAAAAGAAGAATTATAGATATATAAGCAACCAGTGATATACGAGGCAAGAGACAACAACGATGAGCCATAAAGTCCCAACTCTTTAAAGTTGGCTATGTAGATCTTTTACCATCACTATAAGGCAACATCTTTAGTAAAATTGAAAGCATTTAAATCTGCTTTATTGTTTCAAGTAAAGTCTTCTTAAGTCCCTTCAATCTCACCTTGCACCACTAATACTAATCAATACACATCGTCTAACAACATCTATAGGTCTTATTTTAATATGTTCATAGTATCTTATAGACAATTTTCCCTCAATTTATTCTCTGTGATCAAGCTGGTCAATTCAAAAAATATGTATTTAGCATCCAAAAGAGAGTGAAATAAAGGGCTCCGGCACTTTTTTTTTATCTAGAGGATTGTTGTTGTTAAACTAAACTACAAAAAAGGACACAAAGGGCACAGACTTTGTATTTCCTAGAGGATAGGTACTGTTAAACTAGAAAAAGATGTTTCCAAACTGGAAAAACACAATACCAAATACTGAAAAATATCTTTAAAAAAATTGTACTCTTACATCTTGAACCCATCGAATTCCTTGAGCAATAACATCATCCCTCCTTAACCAATGGATTTGTCTTAATATCCAATCATCAATTGCATCCTCCATTATCAATTGCAAGATCTGTTTTGAAATCCAGTATACCTGTCTTCTGCAGAAATAGGTAGGGCTCAATGTTAATATTTTGCCCTTCAAGATAATGAAGCTTAAAATTTTCTACCACAATGACTTAAGTTGCAGAATTTTTCCATAAATAAAGTAAGATGCTTAAATGTCCTTACACAACAAGTATTGGGGGGTAGTCAGCAAGATGAAAGGGAAAGAACATCCATACGATGAATAAGCAAAATACATGGAAGCAAGAGTTCATTATAGTCAAAGTCAGGTAGGAGCAGGATAATCATTCCAAATATGTATTTCAGTGAAAACGTATCGACAAAATACTGAATGGTGACAGAGTACATTATAATAAGAAAAAGAAGAATTATATAGGAATGAAATTCTTTAGTTGCACCAGCATGACTGCACAATTCTGTATTCCTTATCTTCCATGAAGCTTTTGCATAATTCTGAAGTTAATACTCATTCACATGCTGCCATAAGTTTAAACAGTTATAGGGTGAAATCAGCATTCGAGTCAATTTCTTGTTCATAGCTCTCTGTGTTTTATGACTCTAGATCCAAATTTCTTAGGGATATTAATTCACAACATAAGGTTTTCATCACAGCAATGCTTTACTAAATGTCTCACCAGGTTTATGACATAATAAGAGATAATAATAGATATGAAAGGTCAAATGATTAATTCTTTAGTTGCAAGTAATCGCAGACCCATAATAAGCCATACTCCTAATAACCAATAATAAAACAACTACACTTCCCATTTTCTTTGATTAAAAATCTTGATTATGCTTGTACATAGTCAAGATAATAAAATACTACATAAATGCCTGTACAAATACTACATAAAACTAAGGCATGCTGAAAATGTTATCTCAATAAATATAAGATACATAATAATTTTAGTATGATGAGCAAGATATAGGATTTGGATTTAATTATCTTCATTAGAAGAAACAAATCACGTAATTACCATGTAAAACACACCTTAGCCAACCTCTCCTGTTCAGTTGAAATATTTTATCGACCAGATTCAACATTGGAACACTCACATTTGGTGGTGCCCACTGAAAAAATAGGCAAGAAAACACATATGAGAATAACTAGGATGATTAAACCCTTACGGTAATAAGTCAACAAAGATACAAAATATTATTTCTTGTTTCTAATGGTGAATAGATAACACTGTAAACAAGCAAAGTGGTTTACAAGCCAGCAATCAATCAATCCCCGAATCAGAAATCATGAAACCAACAGCTAGTAAAAAATGTGTCACACCATGCCGTTTTTTAGGAAAAATGACTAGAAATTTCCACCATATTAGTCAAACTTTCAAAAATTGAACTACTCATGATTTGAAAAAAGAAAATTCTTTGTGTAGCCTGCAAAAGACAAACCTGGTATTGAAAAAATAGTAATAAAAGTAAAGCTCAAGAAAACTACATGGACTCCACTGCTTGAATCTGGTTAAGGTTGCAAGGTCAATCCTTATAACCAAAGTTTTGGATGAAATACCTATCCAAATGATGTCAAAAATACATACCCATTAGATATCTTTACCTGCATTTTGCCACTAGAACACTTTTAGAACTATTAGCTGCTGTAAAATATATCAGGTGGTATTCAGTGGATGCTTAGAAGGAGCGCATTGATGTTAGGGTATGTGATCAAAGTTCAAGTTCAAGTTGGTATTCAGTGGACTCCACATTAACCAGAGCCTTGTAAACTGATTGCTTTATTTTCAGTATTTAGTGGATGCTAAAAAATATTAGTTCAACGAGTAATAATTGTTATGCTAATGACTCGTTCACCTTATTAATCTTTTGCCATTTATATTCAGATCTAAAAGAAGAGTGGTAGCTAGCACAAGAAAGGTTTAGCTTATTAAAAGGGTGTGCTGCACATGAATACCTTATCGAATCATTGAAGTATCACATTTATATCTTATTTTAATATAAAATTCATACTATATAACTATCTTTTTGTTTTCTGTATGTTGCGTAGAAATTTTGCTTGCACATATTAATCAATTTGATAAGTTTACACAGAAAGCAACTAAAGAGAGTCCAAGTAAAAGCCAGATGATGCGATGCAAGGAACACAAAAAAATGAACATATGCCAAAAAGAAAAGTAAAAGCAAGGTGCACCTCAGGTGGCATTCCAACTGGATCTTCTAAAATATCAGAGGCTAATGAATTTTTTGAGACATCCGAACCAATCCTGTCAAACTTATCTGATTCTTGGATCCGCTGAGATTCCAAGCTCGAATATTCTTTGATGCGATTGAAAACACGAGGTGGAAAACTTTTCGAGTTTAACTCATTGTCCGAGTGCCATCCATTATTTGCAGCGGTAGATCGGTCATCATCATGTGCTTCATCCTCAGACAAGCTATGCGAAGTTTCCATGCTACTAAATCCAGAGATCTGTTTACTTATCTCATTTGGATTCCAGGACGATGACAAAACCTTGTCAGCGACAGAGGGAGAAGTTGCATGAGATGGTGATGTACCAGCAACTTTCAACGTAAGACCATCAGAAGACCCTTTAAACTGGCGAAATACATCATCCATAGCATCATCCACATTGACTGTCAAAATGACAAAAAGCAATTGAGATAACTGGAACAAGCATCAGCTTAACTTGATCTATTGAGAAAGATCATTTGACAAATACTGTCATAACATGAAGTTGGGTTCTACATGATGCAGGGCAAAACCTTTGCAAAGATTAACTATGTACTTGCGATTAAACCACTACTTGCTGCATCAACAATGGTTTTGGTCAAGGACTGCTGTACTGCCCAAAATGGTATGGTACAGAGTACATACCGGCCTGAGCATGGGCCGATACACGGACCACACCCGTTTCAGGCAGTCTGATTCAAATAATAATAAAAAAAAGTGGTGGGGTCCTATCCAACTCAATGTAAAAATATTAAAAATAAATAAATTAGGGCTCACGAACAATGCCGTTGCTTCCTAGGTAAGCTACCGCTACTGCTGCTCCTCCACTGTTTCCTCTTTTTCCTTCTTTCTCCTCTATTCCTCCACCACCCCTTCCTCTTCTCCCTCGTTTTCTTTCTCGCCGAAACACTAGTATGCACTGGCATACCATGTGTCAGTACACCAGTACTGACTGGCATGTACCAATCTGACAAATCACTGAGACCGGTTCAGTACCCGAAACGGCAAACCTTGGTTTTGATAACTTGACCGACCAGTATGGTACCGAGATACCAAGTGATAAACTGACTTATACTGTTCAATACCACTGGAAAAAAAGGAAAAAGTGGTCAACTCAACAGTGTCAAGCTGTATGATTCACCGCCGGTTCTTGGTTAAACTGATAAATACAAGTTGGTATTGTACCAGTCAAACCAATATTTTAAGCATGGATACAGCAATTGTTCAAATTGCAATTTTTGAGAGAACTTGAATAAAATTTGAAGCGGGCCCTCATTCTGATAAACTGAGCAGCTTTGACAGATATCATATATATTTCACTATTATGTGGCGGGATAACTGCACATACACATGCTGAAAATGAAAACAGAGTGAGCTCAACTATAGGAAAGTAATCACAATTTGTAGATCTGTTGGAAACCATCCTCCAACAGCATAAAAAAATCTGAGATTGCCTTGAAAGAAATAGTCTCTTAGACCCTCATCTACTGTGCATCTTTTTGAACAGTAAGATAGCAATGTTTTCATCATTGCATGACATGTTCATCATTGTAAGATACTAATCTCTAAGAAAGGACAGATTGTATTATTACATGTTCATCATTGCTAAGCAGCAACTTTAACTTAAGTTACTGAAGACATACAAATTCAATGCCAAAAATATATACAAATATAAAAAATTTTCACAAATGAACTGGAAAATAAATACTTTTTTTTTTAAATGGCATGAATGACTTTAAAAAAGTGCAGCCACCAACATAGAGGTTCAAAGCTCTAGCACAGTGTTAAAAGAAAATAACACGACTGTTAGAAAAGTGAAGATAACGAGCAACTGAAACTGAAGAGAATAAACAGCACAATCATGAAACAATATAGTAAATCTTTCAACAACAGAGAGGAATGTAAAAGCTAATCAACAATGAGAAAATTTTTTGTACCTGCCAATGTTTTCACCAATGATGTAGATTTTCCACAAGAGTAGTTCTTCAAAGTTGAATAATTAACAAAAAAGAAAGATCAATATCTTGAAAACATGCAGGAGTGTCTAAACCAAACATGTTTCCAAAATGACAACTTCTGCATTGTATCTATGTAACTCATACCTTTGAAGAAACACTTAAAAAGTCCCACACTTCATGTTGCTCTGCAACATTAGCAATTGACAAAAGATCCTGCAAAAGTAAAATGGAAAGACGTCCAGACAAAAGTGCAGACCAAACTAACAGATTGCAAGGTGAAGGTATAAAACATACTTGCAAATATTTGTCAAGAAGGATACACCGCTGGTGGACAAAATAATCATCAATGCTGGATGAAAGAAACCTCTTTGGAGGTAAATGCAATGAATAATTAGGTATATCCTTCAGATGCCGGTGCAGACGCTCAAAATTCCGATATCTGCAATTCAAAGAATAAATATAAAAAGGAAAAAGATTTGCAAATTTTAGGTTAGTATCTACTTTCTTAGTTATTATTGACCCTCTTCAATAATATATTATAAATGTTGTTACAAGCTGGCAATCTACTATCATGTATTAAGTATTAACATAAGAATCATTTATGAACTGTAATAAACTCCATCAATAAAAATAGTAATTGTCCAAAAGACACATAGGTTAAAGCATGCCTTCTTTTCACAAACCAGGTCTTGTTCTCCAAATCTGTTACAGCAATTGAATAAACTGCAAAAGATTTCGATCCAAGTTTTTCAAAATATGCTCCAACAACCTGCAGAAATATTTTATGGGCCAAGTGTCAGTATATCATTAACTAAGATTCCAGCACGTAGCATGCTGCATACAGTCTCAGACTCTCAAACCATATCAGCCAATAAGTGGGCTTAACTACCAATTCACATAGTATGAAATGAATAACTGTGTCATTTTGCAAAGCAAAGGTGCACAATAGTTTATGCAGGTAAGAGCTAGTTATTAGACAACCAAAGAAAGGATAAATGTATCTAGAAAAAAGGGATTTCAGAGAAAGTACAGGATAAATGTGAACATAAGGAACCAAAAAAGCCACAGAACTTGAAGTCTAAAATTTAATTAACATTTGCAAGAAGTTTGTAAGCTTGCTTGAAGAACTAGAACATAGTCCTTTGCTTTACCATTTACAAATTCCCTTTAGTTGTCACAACCCACAAGATAGAGCAGTAGTAACATATAATCCTCAGCCAAGAATGCTAATAATACTTGCTAAATGTAGCAAAGTGTATATTTATTGATGAGTACGATCAAGCATAGAACATAAAGAGATAAAAATATCGCTCTCAAAGATCACCAATGATTGCCAAGAATAAGTTAACAACAAAGCACTATAAGTCAGTAGTTAAGGTGGAAATAGGTCTTCTATATAGTCACAAAGATACCATAGGTGGTCCTGAAAGTAGAGCCATCACCATACCCCAGCCATATTGTGATGCGAGTGCATAATAAGCAGATATACCCTTGGGCTGTCAAGTCAAATTACAGATATTATTTGAAACAATTTTAGCAGGAGAGGAAGTTCTCATGCAGCTGGGCTTTTGAATTTTCAAATCTAACCTAGGAAGGTAGAAAAAACTTGGATAGATTGGATTGGTAATTTCAATATTTAATTAATAAATTATTGAGATACTAGATTAGAACATTTAAGTTGACTAGGAACATATGAATAAAATAAACAGGAGCTTTTGGATTAACATATAATTAGGTAAATATACATGAGAAATTTTGATTGGAGAATCCCGCCAAATATGAGGCTAAAAAGATCAATACAATCAAGAAACATATAGGTGTAATACAGAATTTATTATGGTTTATAGAGATAAATTTGAACTCAATAGTTAATTTTTTCGTGAACAAATTATATAACACTTTTATATTGTAAATGAATTTATAGCAATATAAAGCCTTTTCATGAAAAATTGTAAGTGAGGTTTTGAACTTGCACGCAAGGTTATGCTAGTTATGCACCAGCATATTAAGGCATTTGCTAATCCATCTGGGCCTGGCACAAAGTGCCAGTGATGATGAGCTTGATTCTAGGCCAGTACAACTGTGATAAAGAATGTGTTAACCAACTACTACAGCACTTAAAACCATTATTTTGGCTTTCTCATATCGAATTGCCACAACAATTTAAAGCATTAATTTTTTAAGAAGAAAACATAAAATTACAATAAAGAATTCTCACCCGACATTTGATCTTAGGAAGATGCAAGGATCCTTCACCATGGGAAACCACATCGGAACTTTGCGCTTCCTTATGCTTGGCAATATCTATGTGACATTTCTCCTTGAAACTAGTCCCATCATCACTTTTGGTTTTAAATATTGCATCCATATCAGGAGTGCTGCTAGAACGTTTCAGTTGAATGTTATTATTACTTTTACTGGCATGTTTTTCATTTCCATCAATGTTGCCCAACTCCATGGATTGCCTCTTCTCTGGATCATAGGAACCATGATGCTCATTGTTTACCACTCCTTGTGTTAAGTGAACCATATAGTTCTCATCTATACCTTTTATACTTTCACTCATATAGGTCGCTAACTCCTTCCCTGCACTGCCTGCTTGGACAGTAGTGTTCACAGATCTTTGCGGTGTCCCTGTTTTTATTAGATTGGCAGTCTTCTTTTGGTAGTTTCTTCCTTTAGTCCACATATTCTCCAAATTCTCAGGAGCAAGAACTTCAGTTCTCCTTTTTGTAGTAGCCTCCAGCACCATGGCCCAGTCTGCTGCTCGAGGCGGTATATGATTTAGAGAATCTTTCTGTGATACATATGGGTGGCTATGCTCAGAACCGTCTGTCAGTTTTTCCCCACCACTTTGAACTAATCCCAATTGACAACTTTGAGTGTTTTGCCCAGAATGTCTAAGCGACCTATCAGATGTGACCTCCATGTTGCTGCTATCTTTGTTGTTGAGAAACACGTATTCAATTAGTTCATTGATATACCTGAAAAAGTAGTGGTTACATGAAGTTAACCTTTTCCATATGAAGGGTAGAAAGCCAGTCACTGCAAAGGCTTCTTGGTGTGGAGGACCACACAAATTTGTGGTTTCATGTGTATAAACGTACCACTGTACATAATTCCTTAAGTCATATAAAGAAAATCAAGTGTCCTTTATTACTAAAATTGTCTGCATACCATTCCAAAATGAGGGGATAATTGGCGATCATATCAAGGCACCAACAAAGAAAAGATAATGTTACAAGTCAAAATACATTCTGCAAGGTGAGTGACACCAAAAAGAGGATTCCCGTTCCAATGTCTTCTCAAAAAATTAAAGAAACAATTCTAAAAAACCATAGACAAGTTCTGATATTAATTAGCTTACCCAGGGCTGGCAAATTTCATGACAGGTTGCACAACCAAGCAGGTCAACAACTCTCGGCAGAGACACCGAACTAATGGGCATTGAGCCTCTCGTGGTTTCAAGGCTAAGGATAAAACTCCTCCAACAATACGTTGAAGTACCTAGAAACTAACAATACATGAAACAATGCTTGCTTGACATAATAATGTAAAAAAGAATGCATTTCCAACTTGATAACTATACCTTGTATTCACTTTCTGGTGAAAATAAAGCAGGATGAAGTTCCTTGGAAGCCATTAGATGACGCTTCAATTTTTCATCCCTTTCCTCCGAAGATAAAGTTATCATAACATTCACACCTATCTCAGACTGATTTTTCCTGTAAAGGTCAAGCTGATTCCCTACCAAGTCAATGAGATCCCTGCAGGAATAAAACTAGACTACATTAGTTAGACACAACTATGAAAAAATCACTGAGAAATTGTTAATGACTAGCAAAGGTAATCTGAGATCACCTTGTTAACAAGTCAACAAGGTTGATTTGTTTAACTCTTCCTGATATTTCACCAAGTACATCAAGCACAAAGGAGCGTATTAGTTCCGGAGCCTCCTTATCAGGAGATATAGATGAATACCAGAGATCGATGACAAAGTCCTGCAAAATTTTGTTAATAAATTCCTCAACAGCAGCCTCAACAAGAGGTGAATCAAATTTCCTCTTCCATCTTGAAGTGGGCACCACAATAGAAAGGCGAGAATCTTCAAGACGTAACTGCTTCTTTTCCAAATGGGACAAATATGTTTGCTTAGGAACTGGCCGCACCCTCCAACGGAGCTCGACATCATAAGAAAGAACACGAAAGGCCACAAGTATGAGAACAGAAATGGGGACATTTGTCCACATCGATTTGCTAGTATCTGTGAAAAACAAGCAATAATAGCTAATAATGAAAAGAAATTTTCCATTGTCACACAATAGCAAAAGGAAAAATAACAAATCAAGTATGTGAAACCGTAAATCAACCGTAGCAAAAGAGAAGGTGATTCATGCTTGCAATGTTGAACAAACCCAATAACAATTTGTTCAAGTCACTTGTATTGCCTCAAGCACTGATTTGGAAACATGAATCATCTTTGAGTTGATGTGAATGTTTAATAGATAAAACAAATAAAAAAATCACATTAATCTTTCAAATTGACCCAGCATAAGGATAAAAAGACACTCATATATAAGAACTAATCCCATTTTCTTGCTTGTTATCTGTGGAACTCATCAAAAAACATGACTTACGTCCTTCATATGAATAGCACTACTTTCTTGTCTGCACCATTAGTAATTCATGAGAAGGTGATCTTGTGGATATTCTATTCAGAGTGAAAATTTCTGATATTAGCATCTCTGTCTACATTAAAAGGTAATGTCAGTTTAATTACTGCAGATAGGTAACATCCAGAAACACTTAGAGAAAACCAATGATTTCTCGATCACATTGACTCAAAAGCATCACAGACTAGATGAGACTAAAAGAAAAAATTATATTGGCTCCAGATGACTCCAAATGAGGTGCAACAACGTGCTTTGTTGGATCTGGATCAGATTTATCAAGCCAAGGTGTTGTGCTGCTAAGAAGGCAATCTCCAAGGTGAGTCCTACAGAACAGAGACGATGGCTTGGAAATGTGCCTGGCAGGGTCCTCCAACAATCAAGTCAAAGCCTAATCTAAGGTATGGGAACCAACAGAGATAGAGAATCTAAACAATAAGGCACAAAATCAATGCCGCTTTTACTTGAGGAGGTCACCTTTTACAGTGAAGAACCTCCATAATGGTCTAGCCTTCGTGGCAGGCTTCTTATATGGGTGAATGAAATGGTTGATTGTGGCAAATGGTTATGCTCAAGGTCAACTGTAGCATGACCATGTTGGTGATGCAATTCTGGCTTATCAGTGATGTGACAATACATCGGTGTAGATGCCACATATTGCTTTTCCCTTAAATGATCTAGAAAGCCTACCTAAACCCTCTCATTACATTGTCCCCACCATATTTAGAGTTGAGATCAAGCCAACATGCCAAGGGACAATGCGACAAGCTGGTCATCTCCGGGATGAATGACACTGGTTGTTCTTTCCAAGGTGTCTTAAATGTCCATTGTTGTAATGTTTTGTTCTTGAAGCTAGAAGATTTTCCTCATTTTTGAGGCAAAATTGAATCTTTAGGAAATCTTACGTTATCACTCTAGCTAGGCTACCCAACCATAGTTTGTTATGTGTTCCTGAAGTTAAAGAGTTTGTGATGTGCAAGGAGATAAAGTATCGCCTGAACATATTTATAAGGAGAAAGTCTCATTTGGCTCTAGCATAATCACTTGACCCTCTGAGAGTCAATCTTCCCCTCGGGGTTTAAGTGGTCTCCACCTAGAGTCTCATTCGGAAATTCATGCTCCCTATGTTTGTTGTTCATTATTCACATTGGTTTCCCTCCCAAACCTTTTTATTCCCCTCAGCTTTCTCCTCTTGTGGAACTTCCTTGTCTTTTCTTCTTTAGTCATGTTGAGTCCTTGCACCAGTTAAGTAGATTTGATCGAGGTCATAAAGGGCATAGCCCATCTCAATTAAGTGGCCCCATGTCATGCGTAGAGAAGATAGATGGGACCCCGGTAGTCTTCTGTTTTAAAATAAGGCATATAACTGAAAAGGACCTTGGCGTATTAGGATAGTCTTCCACATTTCCACAATCCACACCCTTTGGGGCTCCTGGGTCAAACGATCAACCCTTTAAGGTTACATAATGAAGCACATGTCTATCATTGGACTAAGCATTGGGGACATGATATGATCCAAGAGAGAAACATGCCGGGTCTTATTGAACCATGGATCTCTAAATTGTGATATTATGTCACATTATCAAGGCCTCCTAGTTGGAGATCCAAGAGATTTAATGTACCTGCCATATCCACCAAGTCAGTGAAGTACAGGTCTGTCACCAACCCAGGCATGGTGGCACGTGAGGTATTAACCACTTCATCGGCCCGCATGATCTCATCCTTTGGGGTGAAACCCAAAGGGAACCTCGAGGAGAGGACCTTGTGGGCTCTTTTCAGAAAATGGCTCTCCAACTCCAAACTGATGTTGGACTCCACCTGTTACTTAAATGATACATGTGTTGTTATATGATCGTACTTTTTGGTAAGCTTATCAATGAATAAAAGGTATCAGATTTATACTACTGTCCTAAATGGAATATAAGGCATAAACACCGATTCTACAGCCCTATTATTGCTTCCTATTAATTTACTGTCCTTCCCCATCATCATCACCAAAAAAATGCCATTCTTACTATTAAAAATTGATTACATTCAATTAGCTTCATTAGTTGTCTATATCAATCTCATCATGCAGACTCTTTGTGGATCCAGAGGTTTTGTACTTTTGTATAGATCTGGACCCAAGCTCTGATGAAGCATAGAATAAACAGAGATCAGGTCGATCCTCTTTGCCATGGGCCACAAAATCCAAGTCCTGATGGGTGGCTTGTGCTAACAAAAGAGACATATCCTACTATTTACTAAAGGAACCATATGTTGATAGAGAAAAGGACTAGAAAGATTATTCTAAGAAGATAAAAGATAATTATAACCATAAAATGCTTCACATATTCGTTAAAGAAATCCACCTTCGTTACTGTAGATAATACAGTCACCTCACTTCAGCTATCTCAAGCACTAGCATATTCTTCAAATGTCAAGCACCTAAAACAATGCCTCCATGTACAAAACCAAAAACTTCCTAAGTCACAAGTGAAGGCCCATCTCAACTAGCATATTCTTCGATAGTCAAGCAGCCAAAACTACGTCTACATGCATTAACCCAAAAACTTTCTGAGTTAGGAGTGAATGCATTTTGTGCAAAAAAGACCAACAGATTTGGCTAAGTAGAGTTTCAGAATGTCAACAGATTAGCCAGGATTGACCACCTAATATAACAGTCATAAGGCTCTCTGTTGGCCTAAGATAAATGCAGCCGCTACACGTCTCTTAAAACTTATAGAAGAACCTCAATATCCTGAACGCTGCCACTCGCTTTGTTCCTTTTCGACAACCAGAACACCACCATCGGAGAAATTACTTCAAAGAAAAAGAAATGATACTACTAACAAGCACTAGAGACGCATGGTGAACGAACATGCTAACTCGAGTCGTGGGTTTCCTTTTTGTACAAATGCATTTCAACTTCTTGAAGCGAGGAGTGCCCGAACCAGCACAGTCATGAACTGGCTCCCAGATGTTCAAGAACTATGGTGCACCGGAAAAGAAAGATATCGTTTCATAAAATCCCTTGCGTCTTGCATACCATTCATGTCAAGATGCAGCTTCAATTCAAGAACTATTTCAAGAGAAACCGTAATGCCTCGACCGAAACGAAGCATGTGACAAAGAAGCAAAAAATATCAAGAGGCAGGCAGTGCGTACGCGACAAGAAATAGGAGATGGCGAAGACGCAGATGGCCCAGCAAACCGTCCGAACCTTGGCCTCCTCGATCAGATCTTGCAGCGTCTCCATGGCCCTCATCGTTCCGACCGCCCGCGAGATGTCTCCGCACCGCCCCGCCCCGCCCCGCGATCCCCAAGACGATCGACGGAAAAGCCCAAGAAGATTGGGGGTTTCTTCTTCAAACCCTAGAGAGGCGCCTTGAGGGGGCGAGGCTGGCGCGGGAAAGATCGTCTCCTCTTCGCCGCCACTGTGGCCGTCTTTGACGGGGAGAAAGAGAGAGACAGAGAGAGGGGGGGGGGGGGGGGGGGGATGAGAGAGGAGAGACGGTGATGATGAGCTCCTCCGCCCTGCCGTCGGTTGGGCTCTTCTTTTAGTTCTTTTCGGTTCCTTTACCTGACACCCGCATTCCTTAAAAGAAAGACGGAGATGACGACGTGTTCCCCGTAACGGAAATGGATACACGTCAACTTCCTCGCATGAAATTTGCAATATATCAAACTTACAACAAATAATAATAATAATAATAATTATTATTATTATTATTATTATTCCTTTTTATGTAAAATTGTTCGATGCATTAGAGACTTCGAACCGATTATTATTATTATTATTAACTAATGAAGGTATTATATTTTCGATACGAAGAATTGGAACCACCAAAACAAGAGGCAGGGAAAAGGCACAACACAGAGGAGGAGGCAAAACAAGAACATAACTGTAATTGTCACCGTTGAAGCCTCTCTTGGTTCTCTCCCCACCGGAGAACGTCTCCTGCCCTTGTTGACCGACATGCTGACCGGTACAACTCCATTCTCCGTTAACAGGGATCCTCCTCCATCTATTCTTCCTTGATGTATCAATCTGTGCATTGACTCGGCTGTCCCAATATTTTACGTAGACTTGTAATCTTCCACATCGCTTCTTTCCTCTCTCCTTCCCTTCTCGCTCTGCCGTTGGCCTGGAGGAAGCTTCCCTCGACACCTTAAGCCCTCTTCTCCGCCCAGAAACATCAAGTCCCATCCATGGATCCCTCGGAACCCCGACCGTCGCCGAGGCGAGAGCTGCAAGGCCCACGGCCTGCTCCTCTCAGGGTAAGCAGAGAGTCGCGCAAGATCAAGAAGCCACCTGTAGCGCCGCCACCGCACCACCAGTACCCGCCGGAGCCGCAGCCGCAGCACGACCGGGATCCGGTGGTCATCTACACCGTCTCCCCCAAGATCATCCACGCCAACCCCAGCGAGTTCATGTCCCTTGTCCAGAGACTGACCGGCCCCGGCTCCGATCCCTCCGCTGAACCCTCGCTGCCCTCGCCCGGGGGAGCGCTCTCCCCCGCCGCCCGTATCGCCACGTTCGAGAAGGCGGCGTCGCCGCATGCGTCCGACCTCTACCGAGCGCGGACGGGTGCCGTGGGCGGGTTCGAGATCGAGGGGGAAGCGACGGTGGACCGGCCGGCTTCGTTTCCGGGGGTCTTGTCGCCCGTACCGGCCTCGCTCCTCCCGATATCTCCGACCCTGTTCTCGCCGTCGTTCGATCCGAGCGTGCTGGGCTTCTTGCTCGAGCTAAGTCCAGTCTTGGCCAACAAGAGCAACGTCGACGGCAACAACAGGAGCTTCATGGACGGCGGCAGCTTCTTGGCTAGTCCCAGTAACAACTTGCTGTCGACGCCTACTGTTCCTTCCCCTGGAGCTTTCTGGGAACTGTTGAACCAGTTCCCGGATTTGTAGAAGAAGACAAGGCTTTGTTCTTCCCTTGTTCCATTGGAAGAAGAGAGAGGAAGTCGCGGAAGAAGACGACGGGAAAGGAAATGCCAGCGATGGAGGAGGGTGCAGGTTGGACTTTGACTTTAGCGGACCATGTGAGAGCTACAGGTCTTCTAACACCAGCTGACTTTGATAGCAGCACAGGATTGATCTCCTGTGTTAATTTGTTTGTTCATCATCATTAATCGATGTTCATCTTTTCCCTGCTTGTTGAATGGTAAGCAATATGATCTTGCGAGATAAAAGGACTTGATCTTTGGGTAAGGAATTTTTACTTTATGTCATGCCATATGGTGCAGAATTCGAGAGGTAGGCTGAGGAAACAGATCACCAAGATATGGCTTGATTGGATCTTTATGTAAGCCAAAATTGTTCTGCTGTGGTGGTGTTGTTTGCATTGCCAAGAAGCAGAATGACAGCCATGGAGTTGATGGGAGATGCAGATTAGCAGCTTGTAACTTTGGAACTTCTGCAACCCACCTAAATTTCCAAGACTAAGAAAAGGCAAATCATTCAAGAAGTCACAAAATCCAGAGCATCATGGTGGTCTCGAAAGTCAATGTACTTCTCCAAATTCATGGGCTTAAAGATGCAAACACTGTTAGCAACTTGATTTCATAGAACAATCTCTTCTTTTTCACCCAAAAATAGAAGATCAAAACATGAGAGATTTTTGCACACTGGTTGGTTGCACTTGCAGAGAATGATCAGTTCTATAGAGCAAGCAGTAAGAAAATTTTGGGAGAGTTCTGCAACCATTATCAAATACATAATCATAATTTGGAATCAACCAAGAGAGTACTGTTCTAACCTCATTGCATTTACAAGTGACCAACCAGAATACAGATCAAACCAACAAAATGGACTGCAGAATACACTGAAGTTGCACCAGTGGCATATAAGAAATCTTCAATGATTTAGCTATTAGCCACACAGTTCAGAGTACTACAGAATTGGCACATTGAGGCCTATGCCAAGTCAGCAGTCCTGTCAGCTATATTCTGTCACTGAAGTGCGACACCAGTTCTTGGCAGAAAACATATTCAGCTGTGGATCCTGGAAATCTGGATACGCCCACCAGCCAGTTCATCAGTTAATAGCCAAAATTACCATCTATCCCTTCTAGATCTGCCAGGAAACTTCCAAATGTGGATATTGTCATTCAATATCCAAAACATGTTGGAAAAGACAAAAGCTTTGTCTAATAGATGTATCATGGCAGAGAAAATCACCAACAATAGCATTTAACATTTTAAGAAGAAACTTTCATCTGCAATCACTAGGCAAAAAAGGCTCTGCCCCCAACTATTCTCATATTTGATTATTTATATACACTACAATACAACAAACGATAACAGATTTGAAGGTGAAATTTAAAGAAGAAATGGCATTGGTGAGTAGAAAAATATATATTGAATATATATATACTGCACATCTTGAAAGGGGCAAAGCACAGGTCAGCAGAAGTTCCTGTGTCACATTATGATCATGATCTCATAATATCAACATGTCATCCAAGTTTCCTGCTACTCCCTTTCTCGTGATCAAACTCTGGAAGAATGCATGCAATCCTCCTCTGGCTTGAGTGCAGATTGACTTGATACTGCTGATGAGAACCTGTCTGACCCACGAACATTATATCTCTCATAGACCTTTTCACGATTATCTGACCACCAGGTTTCTGCCTGATTCTCTCCAAATTTTCTTCGACTGCAAAGGATTTCCACTTTTAGTAAAAGCACAATCAAATCTCTAACACAAAGATTGTGTGGGCAAACAGAAGTGCCAATTGGAATTCGGCATGAATAGCCGGTATTCAGCAAACCATCATAACATAAATCAGGTATAGAAGATTGCAAACAAACAACGATACAGCAGCACTTTCAAATGGGTCATTCAAGCAAATGCCATAGACAATCTTATCACTATCGAGCACGGTTGAATACAATTTTTTAATAAAAAAAATAAATATTTTGTTCCGAATAGAGATGGTAAACAAACAGAAGGATTGTCACAATTACCTGAATCGTACTCTTTTCAAATCTCGAGTTCCATCACGAAGAGCTACAAGTGTTATATAGACACCAGGTTCATACTGTTCAATCCATTCAGCCTCAACTTGAATATTTGATGAAATAGGGCTTGGAGACTTATAGACCATCTCCCCATCTGGAGGATTTTCGATTTCCTTGTTATCAATGTCAGTTTTACTGCCGGATGATGACTTCTCTGCATTACTGTCACGTTGTCTTGCAGTGAAGTCTTCTTCCATTCCATTGGAATTCACATGAGAGTCTTGTAAACTTAAGTTCAGCTTATTAGATTCACGGGCATTCATTAATGTATGATTCTGACTTGTATTTCCATCAACAAGAATAGGCTCCGAAGTCGAAAAAGACAGCATAGTCAGAGCACTGTTTACATTAAATCTTGACTGATGATCCACTTCTAGAATGGAGTATGGACCAGAATGTGAGCCCACCCCATTTGGTGAGTCTACTGGTCTTACCGCATCATTTTTGTACACCCCTTGATGTAATACCTCAACCATATCTTTAAGCTGTACAATAACAATCACAGGTCAGTCTCGAAAAGTACAAGTGTTTGTAAAAATATGAACCAACCAAATAGCAGTATACTCTTGAGAAAATTAGGAAAACAGGTTGCAGGACCTATATGACGTGCTCGTAAGTTTACTGTGAGGTTACATGTTTGACAAGACTGATATTCCTTTAGAGCAAAATCTGGAAAGGCTATTAATTAATGACCAAAAAATGTAAAAACAATCTCTAATTCTAGCTGAAAACATTTTTATTTGTATACCTCTGTAAGTATATATGCACAGAATAGGAGAGTTGAACTAATCTCCTATTGGAAGGATTAATCCAAAAAATTAAATATCGGGAATTTAAAATAATGATCAGCTAAAATCCAAACATTTTGATGCTTTCTGACCTATAAATCAACTAGATGAAAAAAGCAACTGTTTCAATGGCAACGAACATAAATTGAATTGATAACAATTAAGAAGCACCAAAATACATCAAATATTCATGTGCATGTACCAAAAATTGTTTAGATCAACATCAACTGTTTGGATCCAAATCTGAAATGACCTTATATATAGTTTGGTATGGAAAAGGTTTTTGTTTTTCGTTTTGCATACATAAGAAAAATACGCAAAAGGTCATAAAGCAAGTGATCTTCTGTTTCTATACTCTTCTAAAATTTCAGATCACCTTCAGTGAATCTTCAATTCAAAGTCCCATGCTTCATTTTCAATCAGCAGGATTGGGGCCTCAATCTTTTTAGAAGAACCTTAACAACATAATATGTCTGACGACAAGCTTGGTAACATTACCAACAATCATACTTGATACTAGTGTCACAGGATTATATTAATAAATTTGTTATTAGCATTACTTCCACCATCATTTAGAGCCTATTAGTATCTCAACATTTTAAGGGGTCAATGACAATTATCTGTAAGAGAGTTGATCAACAGAAACATCTACTCGCAAAAGAAGCATCAATTTGTTCTTGCATCCTGACCATAGATTTTTGGTCTCGCAATTTTTCCGGCAGGGACGTCTTAAGTTTCAAAGACACTTGATGAAATATCAGAGTACTACAATAACGTTTCTATTTTCATATTCACATTATTCCATCACCATCTGGACCTTCTAGTTTTAAAAATTAGAAATGGTCTGAATACAAAATTCCAAATGTCATACAAGACAGAGGCAGCTTAATGTAGAATGATAAAGTCGGGAATTAAAGGAGGAAATTTACAATATGGTGTATTTAGAGCACAAAAAGTTGGCATTTGCAAAAACTCAACTACATGATGGCCCTAAATCCAACAAATAATTTACAATATCCATCGAAAAATATAAGAGGATCACGATCATCAGGACAACCACATATATATAATATCATGGAGTAGCTCCACTATTCTTCTTTTATAAGTACCCTAAGATTTGAATAAAATTGAAACTTATTGTTACAGTAAAAGGCAAGTAATAAAGATATCTAACCAAGAAACAACCTGTGCTGTAAGGGATTTAATAACTTCTTTTGCAGCTTTTGATTTTGCAGATTCCTCAGCAGCCAATGCCATGGCTTCTTGAGCTTTTTTTCCTAATTTTTGCAACTCAATTTCTTGAAGCTCACAGTGCTGTCTCAGATTTTCAACCTAATGCAGATCCAGGTGATCAGAGAAAGTGGACTGCCAAAGCTAAATAATTTATCCAATGAAGGATGAGGACATTTACCATACCTGTGCACGTAACTTCTGAACTTCTTGAGTCAAGAGCTCATTTGTTTTCTTCAGACTGTCAGTAGCACTTTTGGAGAAATAAACTCCAGAAGATGTAGGAACTGGTGATGCAGAACGTGGAGGACTAGATTTTCTAGAAAATGGTGAAACAGCTCTAGAAGGGTTTACGGATCGTACCAGGGATGTGTGGAGTGCTCTAGGACCTGCTTGCTGCAGATCAATCCCGCCAACCAAAGCAAGATCTTTCAACTGTATGAGTGAGCTGACTTGAGAGGCTCGAATAAATGTCAAGGAATCAGTTCTCTTTCCATGCCTGGCTGCCTTAGTGTCCAGATCTTTTATGAGATCAAAGTTGCTAGGTATCACAGACTTTGTTGATTTTGTCTCTGCTTTTTCAAACCTGTCCTTGCTTTCGCCTGACAAGCGAGGTAAACCATTTCTCTTGTTGTTAACTCCAAATTCCAAGACATTGTTCAGTTTAACATAACAGGAGTCACAAACTCGATATGGTTTTGCAGGATTCGGAGACAAGGCTGCTCTCAAGGCCTTCCTGGAACTGCATGAATGGCAATGGACGAGTCCGCAATGGTAGCAATTATGCCGTTTGCGGGTGAACCCAAATGCTTGTCTGCATGCCAAGCATTGTGATTGCTCTGCACCTGACACCCATTTATGCTGGCATATGGCAGCTGTGAAGGTTGCACCGCAGGCAATATATTTAACAGCTCTGTCCTTCAGAGCTTCAACAAGGTTTGGTGTTTTCCTATCTTCAATGTCTCCATGACCCAATCTTCCATTAGCACCTTTTCCCCAGGTAAAAACCTCACCCCTTGTTGTTAAAACTGCCACATGGTATGAACCACAAGCAACTTCGCCAACAGATTCACCAATAAGCCTGTCTTCAACTAAGCATGGAAGTTTCCCATCAGACTGTGGATTACCAAGCTGACCATAAACAGTACTTCCCATAGTAAAAACTTGTCCAGAAGTTGTCAGGCCAACAGTGAGACTATGGCCACAAGCTAGCTTGTGAAAATCGTGGTCGATCAATGAAGCAACACAAGTAGGCTTGAGACGCGGCTCCTTGTCACCATGACCAAGTCGGTACTTGTCCCCATCACCCCAAGTGAACAACTTTCCAGATGATACACTGGCATTTGACTGAGCTACTATAACCTCCACAACTGCAGCAGTGTGCCATACTCCACATGCAACCGCAATGGTTTTCAAACCCATCAGTGATTCAACCTCCCTTGGATATGCAACACTTTCTTTGTTTCCATGACCTAAAACACCAAACGTACCATCACCAAATGTAAACAATTTCCCAGTCGAAGTTATCAAGGCAGTATGCCAGGTGCCACAAGTAACATATGCAACTTGAAGACCTTCCAGTGGTCCCGAAACTCTTTTTGGTACCCAGTGGCTGACATCACTACCGTGTCCAAGAAGGCCCACATTATGAGTGCCATCACCCCAAGTATAAAGTTCGCCAGCTAAAGTTACAGCACAAGTATGAAACTGCCCACAAGCAACCAAATCTGTGTTAGCTAAAGATTCAAGAAGTCGAGGGTGAACAACATCAGCTCCAACTGCATGGCCCAGGCGTCCTCCAGATTCTTCACCCCATGTAAAAACTTCTCCATGTTTGGTAACAAGAGCAGCATGCCTGACTCCGCAAGCCACATGGCGAACATCCAAAACTAAATTGGATTCTAAGGGCTTGGGCAAGATTACATCAGCTCTTCCACTGGAGAAATCGGTACCCCTCTCAGTGCCAGTTCGTGAAGAAAATTCACAAATGACCTCACCCCAGACATAAACATCACCTAATGCATCACAGTCATCTTGTGCAGAACCATGACTTGATGTGCTAGGCGCGCTAGAGACACTTACTCTGATAATATCTGAAGAGGCACCTTTGACTAGCATATTTGCTACATCTGATCTTTCCAAATGTACAAAATTTTCAGAAGTGACCTTGGGTGAAGTTGTAATGCTAAAATTGATGTCAGGAGAACTATTATCCAGAATGGAACCAATTGAGCTATCACTTGGACTATTAGATATCAAATCCTTGAAATCCTGAAACAATTGTCCATTGCCATGTATTAACATCCATCGCAGCATGCGGTTGAATGGATAAACAAAGTTCAAAACACATAGGATATATGCAAAAGGCTAATTTCAGTCCAGGCATACTCCAAGATTAAAAATATATGTATTCAAGAATTTTTCCTTCCAAAATTTTCAAGGAAAAAAAAAGATCAGAGGCATCATACATAGTTACATTTAGGTGAACTTATGATTCATATAAGACCGATAGAAAATAACTATCTATTAGAATGTTACTTACTACCTTTGCCATGCCTGCTATGTATTAGAAGGAACATCAAAATGGTCTACAGCTTTACAAAAGATAAACAGTCAAATCACTCCTCATGAATCAATGAGATATGCATGCCTTGTGATGTCTAGTGAACATGGCATAAGCCCCTAACAAGCATCTGAATCTGAGAGTTCAAAGTCTCACCATGTTTCCACATTCATATGGATGTAGCACATTATAAAAGAAACACCAATAAGAATATTTAAACTAATCAGCAAAATATATGGTGCTATGCACATTATTCCATTTTCCTGCAGTATAATGAATGCGTAACTAGTTGCATCATGGCTCCAAGGACCGTTACAATGTGGATTTTTCAAGCCCTAAAATGAGACATTTTGTCGACAGCATTTTGTACGGCAGCTTACCACACAGGAACTTGATAGTGTCAATTCAAAAGCCCCACCACACAAGGGCATTGGAACGATCAGTTTCGAATGAGGCAAACATCATCCACTGTGGTAACTATATTTTTCAAAGAATTATGGCAACTATATGAACCATGTCCAAGCACAACCACACCTGTGACAACAAAACACGCAAGAACAAAGCAAACTCTCTTGGAGTAAATCAGATGTTAACTTATTCATTCCACTGATTTCGAATACTAAGCAAATTCATTCCAGTTCAGAGGCTTCTAACTTGAAAGATCACATAGCAATGAGTTTCGTTTACTACTTTCTCAGTCCTCCCACCATGCACAAAGTTTCACTTGAGACTGGCCAAAAGGCTTAGTATCAGGGTCAACCATTTCTAGGATCCATTTTGAACTGAAATCAACCAAAACAAAATCACTTGTTGTTTTGAAACAACTGAAGATCCACCAGTACGAACGGAAACAGATCTATTTGAACTTTGCCAGAAGATGGAGGGTGGATAGAAATTCATTTTTAAACACTTTCAGTGTCTTTGTTTGCTCAAAAGCAAAAGAAAATCTCTTATTGCAGCAAGATCAGATGTAACCGATCCAGATAGACTATAGTAGAATCAGATAGGGATAAGATGATCTCGCTGCACTATAAAATGAATAAGGGCATAGCTAATCTGGGTCAAAAGATAACTAAAGGCATAGAGCTTCTTACTCTACTAACCACCTAATAACTTTTTACAATAAAAAGTCCTGCCATTTTCCGTAGACTGACCATTTATATATGATGCTTGAATTAGGAAATTTAGGCCCCTTAGAAGTGCAACAGTACTTGAGTAGCAGAAACCTACCTCATTCTAAGGGTGAACAACAGGCAACATTCATGTCAAACATACATGAAGGCAAGGTATAGATGAAATATCTGAAATATGAAGGAAATGTCTAAATTACGCAAATCAGACAGCTGGATTTAGCACAAAATTTTCAAACCAACATTTACAATGTAAATTTCACTTCTTACAAGCTAGAACCATATGCTGAATATGTCAGAAACATGAAATGCTGTGTCAAATGGTTTGAACAGAGAAATCAACTTCAGGTGACCTCAGAATTAGATAACAAGGTACTCGATGAAGAAGAATGATATCCTTCTTATAAGCATATATGTGACAACCTGCATCCTTGAAGGCTGAAGTTAGTCGAGAAACTTCATTTGGAAAGAGCAACTTTAAATAGTAATTAGCTGTAGTGGTTAAGGTGTATCAATTACATCAAAATACGGTCCACTATTGCTCCATACATCAGTTTTTGATCGGACACCTTGACCAGAATAAACCAGTGCCTTGAGGCCTGCAATCCACACCTCTGTCTCAAATCTATCCTTGCATATCTAAACGGCAAACAAAATGAGAAGCAAAATATTCAGAATTGTGGATATCAGAAATAGCAACTATTAAATAGTAAAAAGAACATAGATGTATTAACCAGATCAAGAGACCTTGTTCTGTTGTTGCATGACTGAAAAGGACAAGTGGTTCTTCTCTGAGAACAGAGACCATTCAAAACAGGCTAAAACGAATAGATTATTATATTAAAAATAAAAAAAAATAACAACTACTATAATTAACATTATAATGGCTACCGGAAATCTAAACATTTGATAAAAGGCTTATTGGGAACTGACAGTAGTTAAGCACTATGCGCACCGCATCCAATCAAAGTCCAAGCACTATGAACATGACAAAAGGAACATACAGTATTTTTATCTGAAAAAACCAGCACAGGGTTCTGAAGAAATGTGGTTCACCTTTCATCTCAAATCATTCATAATTCCCTTCATATTCCAATCAGCAATTCCCACAATTAAAATCTTGTCTTATACCAGGTTTGTCTTATTGACCTTCTATAATAACTAGAGAGAGCATCTGCTTCTAGTAGTTGACAGCTACCAGTCTTGAGGTTAAGAGGTGACAACAAATTTCCAATGCCTACAGCAGCATCGAAGCCCCAAATAAACAAAAGGACCCAGTTTTATAAATGAGAATAACCCCAAAGAAACGGAAAAGACAACAAAAGATTGCAGATTTAGCGACGAAGCCGCTTCACAAACATGATAACATCCAAAATGTCTCTTACGAAACCACCAAAAAAGCAAATGAAGTAGGCAGACAGCGAAACCCCCTCACCTTCTCAACGTCTCCGAAGCCAACGAGACCTGCCATTCCATCTGGGGGTCACTCCACCGCGCCGCCGGCGCCGATAGGGCGTCGTCATAGAAGCCAGATCTTCCCCTGGACCCTCATCGATCTTCACCAATCCAACAACAAAACCTACCAAAGTGCTCGTCGAAATCTTTCAAGAAGAAGAGAAGACGAAAACTTCAAGTCGCAAAGTTAGACCAAGTCCACTGCCTTCCGCGAGCGAGGGCGACGACTGCTTCGCCAGCGGGCCCGTGAGGGGTCCGACAACCGCGTAGCAGGCGAAGGGAGAGACGGCCCGAGCGGCGCAACCAAGGAGCAACCCTCGAGGCGAAGTCGCGGATTCGAGCTCGCTTCCGAGGTGGGAAAAAGGAAGAAGAACATTAATTCGCCTGACCCGAAAGAGACCAGAGAGCGTAAGAAAAAGATGATATAAAGGGCGAAAGGGGTGCGGTCACCTTGGGTAACGTTAATTCGGTCCACCTCAGCCGGCGCTCCGATAACGCGGGTGTTGTGCCTGAGGAGCACGTTAGGGCTTCGTCGGTACCCCGGTTCCGATCGACCCCGCCGGCGTTCTTTTGTCGGGAGCAGCGCCCACGTGGGCGGAACAGTGTAAGGAATCTGTTCCCGAGGAGCCGCAGCGAACGCCTTATTGCAGGAGAGAATGAAATGACGAGAATGACACTGTAAGGACAGGGGTCGGTTGCTGACGTGGTCACCTCGAGTGGTCCCGACCGCGCCGGGGCCCACGTAAACTGGTGTTGCCTGGGCGTGACACTGGGAACTAATCCCGAGCACCAACCAACTTGTGCCACGTGGAACCCGGCTCGATTATTCTATTCGGTGCTTGTCTCGTGTGGAGACGGAGACGACGACACGATTCGATGTGATTCTTTGAGGAGCCCAAAAACTAAATATTTCTTTTGTTTTTTTAAAGGAAATTTATATGTTTTTTCTTTTAAAAATTAGTAAATTCTCGTAAAATATAAGTGTTTTTATCCCAAAAGCGTCCTCATTTACAGAATTATGAAAAATCAAACATCGTCCTTTTTTACCGAATATTAAGCATTGCGTTTATGATGTTTTCAATGTGTTATAGTATTTTCAGTAATATTATGAAAATAATATAAGATGGTACAAAAACACTATAATATAGCATTTTTTATTTTTTGTAATACCTGAAAGTACTATAATTTAGTAAATAAATATTATAATATAATATTTTTATACTATGTTATAGTGTTTTAAGGTATTGCTCAAAAACAGAGGATAGATGGCCAAAGGTATTTTAGGTGTTTCTTAGAAGGATATTTCTCTTTGTAACCTTTTTTTATTATTTATAATGTCATGTTTAAAATCTTGAATATTCATTAGTTATCTTTTTGTAAATGGTCATATATGTCTTTTATTTTATAACGTAATTTTTATATTTTTTATTTTTTTTCTCTTATTCTTCTCGTTCTCATTCTCTTAATCGGTGATATAAAAATAATGAATGATAAAATGAAGATGGAAGAAGAGGATATAAGAAATAATTTTTGACGTTTATTATGATGGTTTAATGTGTTTAGGGTTATATATATTATGTTATAGTCTAAATGACATAATAATAAGATATCATGTTATAGGTCTTTACAAATTGTCACCGTAAAACACAAGCAATAGAAAGAGTCGATAATAATATGGTACAAAATAGAGAACTATAGAAAGGAAAAAAAATAAGAAGATAAAAAATAAAATTATAATAAGTGTAAATAATAAAATATTATTTTATTATTTTTTAAAAAAATAATAAGTAATAACGAGGCTCTAAATAATAAGCTTGGAAAAACACCAAAAAGTAATTTTTTTCGGAACTCACCTTTAAAAATATATTAAAAATCTAAAATTTTTAATGAAATTTATAGATATTTCTTTGAAATTATCCTCATGCTACAAGAAAATAAGCGATGACATATATTGCTACCTTTATTCTTTTTTTTTATTCTTTGAAGTATCATTACAACGATAGACATGATTTATACATCTTGTTAATGGATCGATGTGTCATGGTTGATAGAGTTAGCATGGCCTGGTCCACTGGGCAATGTCGGGAGTCTCTGATCGATTGAGCCAGGTTTCGAGACTGATCGAACACCACTTTGAGCGTTGGCAGCGGGAATTTGATCAGCGCCTTCTAGCCTGCGATGACAGCTTTCCTGCAAAAAAGACCGTCGTCGGGTGTTTCCCGACTTTGGTCCCTCCGACGATCAAGTCAGTCGCGGGTTGGAGTTTGTTTTTCTTCCTTTTTTTTCCCCTCCTGGTCGGGTCCCAGCCAAGCGCTTTTTATGCTATTGTGTGAGGGTCGGTCGTACGTAGGCGTAGCGACTGATCCTCAGGAGGTGAGGTGGTACCTTTGTGCGGCCGTCGCTCCGATACGCATGGAACGGCGTCATACGGTGCCATCCCAAACTTTTCGAGACAGGACATGTCGAGTCACGCCTTGATATGGTCCCTGGCTCGATGCGTGGGGGTGCCCCTCTTGCTTACCTAGCTGCAGTACTACGTGGTATCGCTCGTGACACGACGTGGACCCATAATATACCTTATCACATCTATACTCTAAATATTATTAATACTATTAATAAGAAAAGACATTATATATATATATATATATATATATATATATATATATATATATATATATATATATATATATATATATAATCGATAATATTATATGATCTTGGTGACACATTAAATTAACTTGTAAGGTTCATTTTCCATGGACCAAACTATTACAGAACTAATCAAGTGCATGACATACTCATTTCCCCATGGGCAAGTCTAAGTACTCCACATTGTTTATTTCGTGGTATGATTAGGATCATGTGGTCATGTTTTCATGGCTCCAACGTTGGCTTCACGATGACTGTGTTCTCTTTTGACCGTTAGATGTCGATCCGAGGGCTCAACTCACATTCTTTTTCGTGAGATAAAAGTGTGGTGGATGATGATGATGATGATCCTAATGAATGATGTTGAGGCTGCCAAAACTTAGGAGTGTAACAAAAGATTAGTGGAGATAGTCCGTGATTAATAATTACGTGACATGATTACACAATCGTATTAAATTCTCAATGTTGATCTCTCTCTTTGGAATAATTATAGTATTTTAGTCTTGAATCGAAAAAAATGATTGATTAATTTAGGGGTATAGAGTGTTTTTAGAATATATATATATATATATATATATATATATATATATATATATATATATATATATATATATATATATA